GTATTGCCAGTGTGCTCCAGCTGTGACCTGACCGGACCGTCCTGTGCGAGCGGGTGGCTGGGTCAGCCTCCCCAGCCAAACCTGCCAACAGAGGGATCAGTAGTGATTTTGATTTGGTCTCCTTCCAAGTCTCCGAATGCTGTGGTCTTAATTCACATAAGCCACTAATCATGGCATTCATTTTGGCCTGGACTGCTTTCAACTGGAAATGTAAAGTCTCCTTTATTTTCTTAGTGATTTCAAGTGTATGCACAGTATAAACACGGCGAGCAAAGCAAATGCCGCAAATGGGTAGAGTTGCACGGACTTCGCTAGAAGATACAAGTTTGTGCAAAGCTTGCCGTCTCGGCAGACTCACGCTGCCGGACATGGCAGAAGGGGAGGCTGACTGCAGAATACTGATCTTTGTGGAAATAGTTCTCTGATGAACCTTCCCAGTAATGGCTTCCTAAGACACAGATGGAGATGCAGGCAGCCTGCTAAGCTGCGGGTTTGGCGGGATTTCCGTGTGGTCCTGGCATGCCGTGTACATCAGCATGAGAGAAACCCCTGGGCCACATCCATCATGGGTGTTGCTGCCCCCACACAAGCACTTCTCACTGTAAGTGAGGATCTTGTCTGATACTGTTTGGTTTGGGTTCCCTTGGCACAGAGAGAGGGTAAGGGAAATTATCCGAGTCTAACAATATGATTATATGGCACTCTTCAGCAGAAAATCTGGTAGCATCTTGCAGAGTTCAATGAAGCAAAGTAAGGTAACAGCAACCTGTCGCGAGCTACGGAGCGAACCTGCGGGCGAATGGGGTGGAAGCCTGTGTCACTCGTGTCCTCGGTGTACCCAGTGTCGGCTGGTGGCGAGGGGAGTCTGGAATATACAGGCATGTATTTTGTACAATGTATGTACAAAGTTGTGACTGAAATGCATTTTTGAATCATAAATCTCCCAGAATTGGGAACTCAGTCCTGAATTTCACTAAGCAATCTCTGCCCTTTGGCGCCCTCCCTCCTCCCGAGCAGGTACTCGGTTGGCAGCTGTACTCGTCTTCAGTGGGAGCACAGAGGTACTAATATGGCACATGGGCGCATATGAACAGTTATTTTTTTCTTGGTATGTCTCTGGGGTAGGAACTGCCAGCTATGATGAAAGAAAATTTAAGGGCAGTATCTGAGGAGGAGAGCGCCTTGTTCCTTTAAAACCCCCCAAAATCCCTAAACTATCACTGAGGGGGAGAGGTAGGATTTTTAAAGTCCATAATAGAAGTAGCCTAGGAAGTTTTGCAGGAGGAAGTTATTGGGATGTCAGAAATGAATAAAACCATTTTAGTACAGTATTTTCTCTGCTATAAAATTAAGTTATGGGTTTGGGCTTTTTCCTGAGGAACCTGGGAAAAGGGAGGGGAGGGTGGTTGGGAGGAGATGGGGGGGGATATTTCAAGAGATGGAGAAACTGCTCAGACCTGTGAGATGATGTGTTTCCACAAAGGCTGGTCTTTTCACGGATGCAGTCTGTTGATGAGAAGTTGTGTGGGTTTCCCACCAGTAGAAGTTGCTTAATTACGTTTTGTGTATGCTCTTGGAGTACCTGTTTGGTGAGAACCTGACAAATGGTCTTCTGAAAGTAAATCAATTCTATTTTCTTGGGCTTTCTTGAATATACATGTTGTCCGGAGCCTGAAAAGCACAGCAGTGGCACAAGAGGAAGCAAACAGTGGGGCGCCAGTTAGGCTCTATGGTTCTGTGAAAGACTTTGTAGCCTCGTGTAAAGAAAAAGAAGAATGTGCCATTGGCGGTAGTGAGTAAATGGAACCTTCTTGTCTTCTTTGCTCTTGTCTTCTTATAAATAAACCATTGTTGTCCATCCTTGGCATTTGCAGTTCATTGTGATAAATTGGTCTTGATGTGTCTGACATTTCAACCAAGTTGTTTAATGGTGTTTCTCTGAAAAGGCAGGCCTTGCTATAACTTACGCTGGTCCAGAATATATCCAGGGTACGAGCTCTCGCTGTCACGTACGGCCCTAACCCTTTCCTTTCTGAGTGGATAAAGAGGAAAGGAGAAAGTAAACATTTTGGTCACATAAGCCCCAGAGGCCTGGGTTTGTGTAAGCAGTGTGTGGGAGCCTAAGCCTGGGTTGCGGTTGCTAAAAGCCTGTTTCGTGACATGGGTGACCACAGTGAGTCCACTCGCACTGCCCCAGCATCTCTGGGGAAAAAAAGGCTTACTGAAATAATGCAGAAGGATTTTCATCAAAATCTTGCTCTGAGTTTTAAGCAAGATCCCACCCGTTATCTGCCGGCGCTCACCAGGCTCGTGGCTTCCCTGCACCGGTTGCTCGGGTGCAGAAACTGCTGGGACGTGGAGACCTGGTGAGCTGCGGCCAACGGCAGCTTCCATTGCTGCGTCCCCGCCCCTCCGGGCTTTGATTTACGTTTTTAAACGTCTGCAATTGCCCCGTCAGCGTCAGCGGGGTGATTAACACAGAGATTGCTTGCCATAAACGGGAACCTTCTGTCCATACCTTGCCAAGCCTTTCATCTTCCCAAAGCTATTAAGCACCTGCCCACAGCAGCCAAACAAAAGTAGTGCCCACACTTGAATTGCGAGCAGTAAATTACCTTTTTGCCGGTCGGTGATCACACCGTGTTATGACAGCGCTCTATAATTATGTGTCACCTTCTGCAAAATCAGCTGTGTAGAAGGTGTTCCCATGTGTCTTGACCCACTTCATTCTCAAGGGAGAGTTACCACGAGCATGAAAAAGCAGGTCCTACGTGGCATCGAAAGGGCATTTCTTTCCATTGCCGTAGTCCAGACAAGAACTAGAACGCTTTTTTGGGTTGTGGACCAGTAACCTGATTAAGATGTGTCTCCTTGATTTTTATTTTTAGTTTCCCATTTTTCCCAGTATGCCGGTCGAGTATGAACCTTACCCTTTAATGCACCGCACAAACGTGGACAGGAGGAAAACTTTCAAAGTTGCAAAAGCATGGAGAATCATTGGGAGTAATAAATCCTAGAGAGGAAAGTTATTTTTATCTCCTATTTTCCGAGCATTAAGTTTTGTTGCGGTAAAAATGGAAGTCCCCGAGCAGAGGGTGGCCGGGGAACAAGCCTCAACGCCAGCCCGGCCTGGGGAAGAGCCGCTCGTGTCACAAAAACCCCGACGGGTGCTGGAGCACCAGAGTCGGGCACCGTCGTCCCTCTGTGCTGTATTTGTGGGAAAAAAGCCTTATTTTCATCTCAGCAGACCGGGGGCGCTGTGCGGGCTGGTGTCAGCTCCTGCTCGCCTTCTCGGTGTCGGGTGATTTTTATTACCAAACTGCTGCTAATAATAATAGTTTAAAAGCCTACATAGAATGGTTTTTCCCCCCTCTGTTGTGGATCATGCAGCATGCATAAAGGTTGTTTAGGCATGCAGCGAGCAAATTTCAACAAAGGGGCGCTGTCTTGCCCCAGGGTTATAAAACTTCATTACATGTGTTATTAACTGTCCATCTGTGGCAGGAGCTAATTTTTCTTGATGCATTGATTTGCCCACAGCTTCTAGAAACAAAGCTTTATATAGCGATTCAAGGTGTAGAGAAGCCAGAGAAATTCTGGGATTAAATGACACATTTTTTTAAGTGGCTGGTTGATGCTTTGGGGCTGTAAGAGGCCCCTCGAAGGCCTTCGGGTGCAGGTGAGAAGGAGGAGGTGCCGTTTCCATCCTCTCTTGCTTAGCACCTGGGAAGCTGGCTGGCTTTGCATGAAAATCTTTGCAATGTGAAAGATATCTTTAATTCAGAATTTAGGTTCGTGCCTTTTCAGTAGACCTGCAGCCATATATAACATTGCCATCATTAGCACTAAAGGAAAAATCCATATGCAAACGGTGCTTATTTTTTGCAGAAAGAGTAATTGGTGTATTTGATAAGCAAATTTACCCAATTAGATAATGATTCCAGAATATTAGAGGATATATTGTTCAAACTGTGCAACATTATACATTTGAAAGAATATATTATTTAAACTGTGGGACGTTATGTGTTCGAGCAGCCTTGTCACAATAAACGTAGATATGTTGCTCTTCTCTTCAGACTAGTATGAATAGTAAGTAACTTCATTGCAGGAAAAAGGAAGGAATTTTAGCAATGCAAAGTAGTTATACAAAGAGAATGAGCTTCACAGCTTGCTTGGTTCCAGATAAATTTAGCAGGGCTTTTTTCATAGTTGCATTCTTGCATGTACTGGGATTTTTGCTTAGCTCGCAGTCACTTCTCATCTAGGTAGTTAGAGTTAGGCTTGTGTAGCACCTGTGAGTTCATGCTTATGCTTTCCACTTACTTTCCCAGGTTTAGTGACCATAATCTGCCCAGAGCATGAAGTTTGGAAATTGCCCTACAGGACCAAGCACATAAAATAAACCCCGATGCTAAAATCAGGCAACTCATTTTTCTGACATATTTGGAGGTCCTATTTGCAGAGTAGTTTGTCCAGCGTTACCTGCTGCTGCACGGGGTGCTAGCGCTGTAATGGCAACAGGTCAATGTAAGCAGGGGGAGTCACTGCACAAAGACAGCGAGGAGAAGGTGGGATGGGCAGGAGACCGCAGGAGCGCTAGAGAACAGCGGGGCCGGTGCGCACTTCGCTGCCCCTCAGTCACCGAGGTGGCCGCAAGCAAGAGGCTGCGAGGGAGCGGCGGCGAGGAAAAGTCGTGCGCGCATCTGAGTTCTGCTCTGCTCCACTGAATTCCCCTGCGTTTTTAAAGTTAAGTTTCTGGGGTTTTCTTGAAAGAAACCCTAGCTTTTCTGAGTTTAAAAGTCTCATGATCTCTTTTGGGGACACTCATGCGAGAGAAGATTTAAGCAGTCACACCTCAAAACTGTGGCTGACTTGGGGTCTCGTTACAGTATGTCAGCACGTTGAGCCATGCAAAATAAAAATAACTTTAGAAGCGCAAACTATGTTAGCGATGTCTAGAGTTTTGTTAAACTTTTTTTTTCTTTGTTTTATTCTTCTAGCCAAGCAAGTATGTCCAGCTGAAAAAATTAGCTGTGGAGACTTAAGCAACAAATGTATCCCGTCGTCCTGGAGATGTGATGGGCAGAAGGACTGTGAGAGCGGTATTGATGAGGCTGGTTGCACTCCCGGTGAGTTGGAGTAATGCTTTAGTACGTATGCAACGTCTCCATTGAGGACTGTAGAAGTCCTAAAGTGACTTTTACAAATTGCGTGTAAAGGGATGACTTTTCCTGCCAGCAAAATTCATTCACTCCCCATTTGCAATGCTAAGTAGTGGATTTTAGCAAAAGAGAGGAAAAAAGACTTCTCCAGTTGGAGCTGGCTGAAGAATACAAAGTGAACTGTATGGAGAACTGAGTATTCTTTTACTCCTGTAGTAGACTATAGCTAGTCAGTCTGAAACACGAGTATCAGGATTAGTACCCAGATGACTTTAGAAGAGCTTGGAGGACAGCGTTCAAATCCTCATCTGTGACAGCCCAGCAGTTCGCTGCCACCTCCCTCCTCCTGCAGAGTGTAGGGCTATAGGCTAAGGGTAGCTTCTGCTGGGATATACTAAATAGGCCTGGACATTTCTTTGTAAATAGCTTGTTGACTTGACTGATCAGGGAGACAATGATATTTACTGTTAAGTTATTTATTGTGTTAGACAATGCTATTTACTGTTAACGATTTTAAATTCAGTCCCTAAACGGTCACTGCCTTTTATTAGGCCTTTCTCTGCTGAATAACAAAATTCTTTAATAGTGTTTTCCCTCTGAAAACTCCAGCTCTCTGTAATCAAGTCACGTCTCAAACTGTTTCTGTGGATAAAACTAAAACATATTTAGTTCTGTATGCTTCTAACCGTCAAGCATTTTCTTTTCAATGAGTGCCTAACTCATTTTTAAGGCTCCCTTTGGTATCGCAACTGATTTTCCAACTTTTGCTCTATGCAGACCACCAGAAATTAGGCAGTATCAGTCTTACCAGGACCGTGCAGAAGTAAAACCACCTTTCTAATCCTGTTCTCATACATCTTTACATTTGTCTGTATTAAATTCTTGTGCAAATGGTCCTAGGCTCTTAAGAAGCTGTCTCTTGCTCTGTGTGACAGTCATTGCAGATGAAATCAGCAATTTTCTTTTTACTTTTAGATTTTTAGTGATATTGTTGAGTAGGAACATGGAAACACACTGATGTTTCTGTAGTTGATAACTGGATTTTGAGCTCTGATACCTACCTAGCTTTTAATCAACTTTATGTCTGCCTTACTAAAGTTGTATAATGAAAATGGTTTCATAAGAAAATGTTGAGGTTCTGAGAAAAACACCCTGGATACATTGATTTCTGTACAGGCAGCTTTGCTATCGCAGAAAATACAATCTTACCGAAGATTTTACTCTCTGAGCAACCTGTTCCAGTGTTTAGCCACTCATTATGAAGAATTTTTTCCTGCACGCAGTTGAAATTTTCCTTGTTGCAGCTCGTGCTCATTGACTCTTGTCCTTTTGCTTTGCACCTCTGAGAAGAGTTGGGTCTAATTCACTTACCTACAGAATAGACACGTTTTCCAAAGCATTTCCTTTCCACATTTGGAATGACTTAGAAGTCCAGGGGTATCGGCAAGAGGTTGCTGTGGGTGTGCTGAGCTCTGAGTAGTTCCTGTTGGGTTTGCTCGCAGGGCAAAGGCGTGGGTTGCCTTGCAGGACCTCCTGTTTCATGTGAGCGTGGGCGTTTCCTAAGTAATAAGTTATTAAGACGTGGTAGCTTGGTAATGTTCTTACACTGCTGGTCCTGTGTCCCTTAAGCTAATTAAGTTATTTTGGCAGTTTTCAAGTCTTTTCTTTGTTATCTGCGTGAAAACCTTAGTGTTCTCTCTGTGGGATATGTATTTTTTTCCACTGAATAGGAGGCACCTTTGGATTAGAGGCAAGTTCAGAAGAGAATTGTAATTGCTTGTGAAAAAACAGTTCTTTCTGCAGTATGAATTAGTGAAGTTAAAACAAATTTTACATAGGTGGCTGCCTCCACTAATTCAGTGCCGCTGCTTACATCAGTTGTTGTTGTCTCACGGAGTCTATTACTTATAATAAAAATTTGAAATTGCTTGCTTTGAACTTTTTTTCCCCAAGGCTCTGAGGTAGCCCCAGAAATGAACTGAAATGTGTTCTGAATGCAACATAATTTCAGTATAATGACACTGTTAATGGGTTTAAAACAGCTGAGTGTTTCCCTTCTGGATGTTTCAGTGTCTCTTGTGTTGCTTATCTTCCACTTCTTTAGAGCATGTGCGGGATCTTAAAATGGAAGTTGAGTCCAAGGACAAATTATCATCTGCCGGTGCTTGTTGAGTAGCTCTCATGAAATGAATTAGTGACTTTGATTTAGTTCCTGACGATCAGGTGCCGTTCCCACGTAGGCTGGCACCTCGGTGGCAGTCGCGGCTGAGGGGTCGCTGCTCAGTGCGAGAGTGGGCTGGGCTGTGCTCCGGCCAGGACCAGGCAGAAAGACACTGACGGGCAAAATCTGAACTTCCACTGTGTTTTTGTCTGAGTAGGTGCAAACATCAGAGGCTTTTGGTCTTTGAGGTCTGTCAACTCGACACCTTTCAGCAGCATTAAATTCCCTTGGAGAAGGAAGCAGAGGAGACGCTGCTGAATGGCTGTAGTGGGAGCTTTTTCAGTAAGGTTGGTTGTTAAATTGAGATGTTTGCCTCATGGATGTGGACAAATGTTTAAACTCTGAGAGCTCGTGGAGGATTGATAGCTATCCTCTCTTTTATCCAAATCTGATAAACCTCACTAAGCCTCTCCACTGATACTCTGTTACCACTCCTATTTCTTCACTATTTAGAATCCTCCTTCATCCCTTTTCTCTTATCTCCGCAGCTGATTCAGAAAAAAAAAGAGATGTTTGTTCCTGGCCTCTTTTTTTTTTTCCCTCCCCCCTTTACTCCTTTTTGGTTCTCATTTTAAATGTAGCTTCATCACAGACTGTCAACTGCAGCCCCTTGGAGCAGAGCACCCTTTTATAGCTAGGGCTGCACCTCTCAGATAGCCAACAAACTTGTGTGTAAATAACACATCTCTCTGCATAAATGTTTTTAAGGGATTTTCTTTGTGCTCAGGGTAATTTCCATGTTGAGAGTTTGCATGTGCAATAAACAAGTGGAAGATGAGTTGAAGATATTGCAAATGAAAGCATCCAGAAGAAAAACCCTAAGCCCTTTCTAAATCCACGTTAATAAAACTATTACTTTGAGCTAATGTGATACCGCATTTTAATGAGAGCTATTCCTATTTCTTCATGGGAATAACTGCCTCTTAGTATTATAATCCTTCCAAAGAACTTATGCTAAATGTGGAGTTCATAAATATTACTTCAGCCTGCATTTCTGCATTTGTAATATGTAGCACGAGCCCTGGTTGTGCTGAGGCTGTGCAAACAACCCACCCATCCCTATGTCAAAATGTTCACAGTCCTATGCCAAAATGTTCACAGGGAGGATGCTACAGCACGAGGGGGCACAGTAGGAAAACAAGGGTTATGATATCAGTATCATTCAAAAAATGTAAGAATAGGGCAAGTGTGTTACAGACTGTCCTCCTGTGTGTGCTTCTGGCCTCCAACAACTTGCTTTGAAGATGCGACTCTGGGTTTAATAACTCGTGATGGATTTTTCTTCACTGTCTTGTCTAATTGTTCTTTGAATCAGTGTGAAATGCATCCAGTACAATCAGGGTAGGCTTTGGCGAGGTCAACTGGAAGGGAGAAAGCTGCTGTTCAGAAATTTCATGCTCCCCTTTAAGCTTTGTACCAGGCACATTCTTGGTACTTTATCCCGCACAAATGGAAGAGGGACTGGTGTACTACACCCCTCTCCTTTGCTTTTGGTCATCTTGGAGACTTGCTGGTTGTCTCAATGGGCACCCTGTGTGATCTGAAATACCGTTTAGCACACCAGTGCACAGGGTGTCTTTCCTTCGTGGAGGGGGAGAATTTGCAGAGTCTTGTGTGATGTCTTTGTGTATCTTCCCTTAGACAGAGGGTTTGACCGCATAGCGAGCAAGCTCTGAACTTTATTATCTGAGTGCAGGGAAGTTGAAAATAAATGCATCCTCCCAAACAATGCATAAAAAGTCAAATATTTCCTTTGAGCTCCTCATCTCCCCCTGTCCAAACCAGCCCTATAAAGAGCTAGCCTTGAGGGTAAGAAAACAAGCATCTATTAATCTGAAATAAGGGTCCTGTTTGCCATGTCTGGAGTGAGAAACAGCAATTTGATAGATGAAATCCATTAAAATAAAAACTTCCTTGGAAGTGCATAAGATAGCCTGTGCTGGCAGGTTAGGCCTGACCTGGTACCAGCATTAGGAAATTCTGGTAAGGAGTCCAACCACTGACCCCATCATACCCCTCGGAAATCGTTATAAATGGACAGTAATGTACTTTTTTTTTTTCCTATAAGAAAAGATTTTGTGAAAAAGAAGCAAAAACGATGACATTTTTGCTCTGTGGGGAAACTTCCTGAGGAAGCAGTGGAAGCCCTTGTGCTGTGAATTTTTCAACCTGCAGTGGATAAAGCACCAGTGATTAGGGATCCAGATTCGTGCCCGCACACAGGCTGTAATTGTACCAGGGATTAATTGCAGATGCTAATCCTCGCATGTAGGTAGCTAAGTACCTGTCTGCCTAAATAATTTACTTCCAGCAGGTTGAGCAGTAGGCTTTAAGCCCACCACTAACTTTCAGTGCACAAACAATTTTTGAAGGTGCAGATAATCTGCCTGCTTAACATAAAAGAGTATTTAAAAAAAAAAAAAAGACCTGTTAATTTTTGGTTCTTTGGAGCAGTAGTCTGTGTCTTTACAACACTCACTATATTGTGGTCATAAGTCAGGTTTGCTTCTCTCAAACAGATATCAACAGTTAATAACATAAGAGGCAGTCCTGAACTTGCTGGCCTGGAGGTACTGCCTTCCTTTTTTTCATGTCTCTGGTTCAGGTTTTCTGCTCCTGGTGTAGCTAACCTTTCTCACAAGGATTGATTGGACAAGCTTGGGAACACATTTACTGAGACTAAAAAGAGAGAAATTAAATGTGAAAGACTGTAATTAAAGCATCGCAACTGAGGGTACTGCAGAGG